TCTTTTGAAGAGGATGAACATTTAAAGGGAAAGTGCTTGGAATGTGGGAGGAAAAGCAGCGCGGGGAACCAGTTGTCTGCGATGTGGAGTCGATTGCAACCCTCTCAGGGTTTTGTTGACCCGGCGGCGATGGACCATCTCCACTTCGAAGCTATTTGGATGGCATCTCGGCGGCCATTGTCCAGACTCAACGAAAGTTCTGCCGAACTAAACACGCAGGCTGGGCGGCCGGGCCAATCCCTGTGTCAGGCTTGGGCCCACTGATGATCCTTTGCTCGACCGGGCTTGGGGCCCCGTAGTCCCGGTCGCCCTCCGAAGACCGTTGGTTTCGGAAATTAACCGCTTTTTGTGAATGACCCAAGTAGAGTCACGAGGAGATCGTAATAACAATAGCTCTTCTATTATTTTAGGTAGTCTACTTTGGTGTAGATGTAAAAAGTATTGTGGATCAACTTCCTCGCGATTCTTGACCTACTGCAAGTCGAACGAGAAGTTGGACATTCTCTAGCCCCTCATGCTCCGGATTTTTGACATGTACTTCATTTATCGATCCCCCTCCATGCTATTGGAAACGCGTTATCAGTCATGTGTGCGACTTTTTAGAGGCTAGCTGTTATTTTTGCGCGCGACTCCATAACCCCATCGAGAGTGAAGATCACGAAGCTTCTCCTGAAGGTTGGCTCCAAGGACTTCAGGTGTTTCTCTTGGCAATCGATCAAATATGTGAAAATAAGACCTGGTAACCTTCAAGTTCACTTGTAACATTTGTAACGACCAGAAGAGCTATCCTAATCTACAAACTCCTCACCATAAGAAACATAATTCGCCCTGGGCATGGCGCTAAAGGAGCCTCATAGTGATCTAAATTATGGTAGACTGGTGATTATTATAATACTCAAGTAACAAGACTAACGTGACAAGCATGACAACTGTTGACGGGTGCCATCGGACTGCTACATGATCCAAAAGCCTTTGCGAACTCCTCCTCCTTCAGGCCCTCCAAGTGATCAGGTCTCTTTGCACGTGTTAGAGTCTAAAGAGTTGCCACCGTTCTTGTCACGTGTGTCTTTGTTCAAAGACTTTACAATAGCTATCAGAAGGAGGACTCATATTAAGAACATTTTAGCGTGACTACTAGTCAAAGTGAATGATATGAAGTCTATTGTGAAGACTATTGTATTGGGTGGAAGAAACCGGAACCCCTCATCACCAAATAGATAAATAAGAGACACAACTAAAGTCTTCTGGAACATCTTAGAAGTGCTCACACAGGCTTAACTGCGGAAACATGGAAAGAGCCTACCAAAATATCTGTTAGCTACTTTGTGGGCTAGTTTGAGAATCAAGGTTGAAACTGACCAACCCATTCATTCAGGTCGAGGTCTCTGAACTCCTTAGCTGACTTCGTGACCCCAATCTCTTCTACCAGCATATTAGATGGGATGCAACATCCCTTAGAGCTCTTGATACTATCGATGTCTTGAGACTTCTTGATCGGCGTGCAGCTATTACCCTCGTCTACACGACCAAGTATCTCAGGCTCGGACCGTCGGCTACCATCTGGCAATGTCTGGGTGTATACGTTGAGGTCGCTATGGGTATTCTCTAACACAATGCCTAAAGGTGTTCAAGGTTCTGTATCAACAAGCACTAATTTGGTGGAACAAGTCTTACCTGAAAATCCCGATGCTTCCAGGTATGTCTGGTATTGAGACACGAGGCTAGCCCCAGAAACGCACCCAACATAGGCTGACACACTGTTTCTGAGGTCTTCTGGAATTGCCTTTTTTGCTAAGATATCCGAAATCGAGACTCGGCCACCGGGCTTTAGCAAACGGGATACCTCATTGAAAACCACTTGCTTCTCTACCTCTGGGACGAGGTTGATGACACAATTCGATATGACGATATCAGCAATACCAGCCTCTAGAGGGATGTCAGTAATGCGGCTCTGGACAAACTCAACATTTCCTAGTTGAAGACGGGCTCTATTTTGTTTCGCTAAGTCGAGCATATCCTGTGTGATCTGTATTTTAGCCATGCCGAGCAAGGCCCCAGGGCGGATTCGTCGTCATGCCTTGTTCATGTCCACTCCTATGACGCGACCTAATTTGCCGACTTTTGTCGCTGCCTGAAATACGTCAAAGCCTGCTCCCGAGCCAAGGTCAACGACAGTCTCTCCCTGCATTTTGATGAGTATACATGTACTTCCATGAACGGAAAAAGTTTATGACTTCGTACCTCTTGTAAGCTAGCAATAGCAAGAGGATTCCCACAACTGAGACCCAAATTGGACTCGACGGGGATCGTGTCAAGATCGCTCTCGTTGTATCCAAAAGATTGCGCAATTGATTTGCCATATGCCGCACTTGGTCTACCGTCGGTAGAGGAAAGAGCGCTGTATCGTTGTAAGACAGCAGTGTAAATCTCGTCTGTATTCATTCTGCAATTTGCGTTCGTCGACAAATTAGTCAGACCAAGGTGCTCAAAAGTCCTGGCTGTAAAATTCAGTAGACACAGGGTATTCAGTAGTTATAGCCAGAGCATCGGAATTGAATGGTACTGATATGTCACTGCTTAATTGCCGTTTTGAGGCCGCTGGGGCTGCATATCACACCAAGCCGAAACGGGCAACATTTTGGTGTGTCACTAGCAGATCACCCGAACCGTCACTGTCCGACACATCGCCACTGCATTCACGAACACCGAACAGATTTCGCTTTGGTCGAGTTTCTCAGGATTGCGCACTTGAGGCACAACAACGAGTCTCATCGCCTGTGATATGGAGTTCTCCAAGATGACACAAAAGTGGTCTTCAAAATCGAAAGAAGACCATACAACACGAGTACGAGAGAATCAGCGTCGCCATAGAGCCAGGACAAAGGCGTATATTGCGGCCATTGAGAAGCAACTAGCCGAGAGCCAAGTCCGCCTCGAAGCAGCATTAGCTGAAAACTCAAGGCTGAAGGGCAGCCTGGAGGCATGCAAGAGTCGAGACTCGAAGCTTGCTCTTGAAGAACGGCAGCACGCCATGGCTTGTGGAATGTGCAAAGAGGGGGAACCTGGAGATGGCACGATATCCGTTATTGCTTCCCTTGATAATGGCAGCAGGTTTGAGAAGCATTCGCTTCAAGATACTGGACAAACCCAACGGCTTGAAGACGGCGAGAACCTGATGTCAGCGGAACTCCAAGAGCAAGAGCTATTGCGAACCCCAACAATGATGCCTTCCAATTGTTCAGTCTTCTCTTCTAGTGCAGATCTCACACCACAAGGCTCGATAGCCAAAGATATACACCCGATGCTGACACAGAAGGACTGTCGATGCCTTCCTTTTCCGCTTCCAGGCGAGTCAACCATCCCCTGTATAACAGCATACGGGATCATCGAGGAACAAAACTACAACGGAATGGATCTTAGGGCTGTCGACGGTATTCTGGCGCCGGGGTTTCGACGAGCAATCAGCAGCGAGGGATGCAGGGTGAAGAGCCATCTCGTTTTCTCGGTTTTGGACTCGGTCCGGCCATTATAAGTAGTTCGTCTAGAGGTATGCGGTAGACGCGCTTCTCAAAGGTCTGTACGTTAATCAGGTGGTTATTGAATTGCGATCAAAGATCTCGATCAACATTTCTGTCATTGGCTTGCGGCGGTGGCAGTATTTCTGATTCATTAGGTTCACTGCCCAGCACGTAGTCATGTTTTTAGACCATCGCAATTTCTGCTAAGTACCTACCTTCCATAAGGTATTGTACAGTGGGGTATCCAAAGTCTCCGGACACACTAAATTCGCATAATTTTGCTATAAATCACCATAACTTTATAACCACTTAACTAAACTAAGCCAAATTAAAATATATTATAGCTTAAATGAGAATAATATTATTATTTATTTAAAAAGTATTTTATCTAAATATTAATATAGAATAATCATCTTTTATTAACTAAAAAAACTTATAAACTTTAAAGTAATATAATTATATATATTATTTAGATAAAATATAAAACTAAAGTAAAAATACTAACTTTAATCAAAATTAACTTTAAAAATATAAGTTTTAAGTTTATAATATAATTATAATAGCTTTAAAAATAGCTTTAAAAAGTATAACTTTTAAGAAAATTTAAATATAGATATTTAATATTAATAAAATAATAAAAAGTTAAATTATAATTTAATAAATCTATCTTTATTTAATCTAAAACTATCTTTTTCTTTTTTTAATAATTTCTTAAAAAAATTTAAAAAAAGATCTTTGAAAAAGTAAAAATTAAGACTATATTTTTAAAGTTTTATATAAAATTAAATAAAAGATATATTATTATTTTTAAAGATAAAGTTTATTATTTTTTAATTATTTTATTTAATTATTATAAAAATAAAATCTAATTTATTTTATTAATAAAATTATAATTAATTTAATCTTAATAAATATATTAAACTTAGTATCTTTAACTTATTATTATTTTATAATAAATAGTTATATATACTTTTTAAAATATTAAATATAATATTTATAAATAGTTTTAACTATATAAAAGTTTTTAAAAATTAAAAACTATTAAATCATTATATATTAGCTTTCAAAAACTTAGATTTTAAAGAAAAAATATCTATTTTTTCTTTCTTTTTCTAAAATATAAGATAAAATATAATAAAATTAATATTTTAATTAATATATCTATTTTTATATATATAGTAAGCATTATATATTAGTTTGATATGATTATAAGTCTTTGGTGTAGAGTTATATTAGTTTAAGGGGTTGAAATTAGGCTGAAAAAGGTGTCCGGACACTTTGGATACCCCACTGTACTGTTCAGAAACAGTGCGCTGGAGTACGGCGCTTGCTAGTGCCCAACCTCCTACAGAGGTACCTACAGCCAAGGTAGGTTGGTTCCCCACAAGCCCCACCCGCGTTGCCCTCGTCACCACCGTAGAAGCTTTCCTCGCACTCTTCACTAGCTGCCTACAAACCCTCTCTACCCTATTCACCGCACAAATGCCGCGAAAGGTACGTGTTCATAGGTGGCAATACGGCTGCCGCCTCATACAAACAGCCTCGTGCTCATTGCTACCTAGGTCAAGACAGCCGAGTCCATCGCGCAAAATCGCGACAGTCAACGGCGCTCTCGTGCGCGACATCGCACCGTTGTCGAGGAGATGCGCCGGCAACTGCAGGATTACCGCTGTCGCGGCGCTACGGCCACACGTGAGATGCAATTGGCAGCCCGCAAGGTCAAAGCGGAGAGCGTGCGACTGCGCATTTTGCTCGCGCGCTGTGGTGTGCCACCGGACGAGATCCAGGCATTTGTTGAACTGCCAGATGAGGCGCTAGATCCTCGGGAACTCGCACAGGCATCACGACAAACTGCGGCAAGCAACCCGGAATTTGGGAGCACCTCTCAGCCCGTATGTGGGCCCCAGTCCTCTCGCCATTGCAACACGAACGCGCACCCAGAGTGTGGTGTCGACAAGTCGAAGGACTATGATACACCAGGGGCTACGTCAGATGACACGACGCCGTTAGAGACATCGTGTAAGGCTGCGGCTGATCTAATTGCTGACTTTCAAGGGCACGAGGATGTGGCAAACGTTCTCATGATGCTCGGTTGCTCAGGGACAAACGACTGCCGCGTCAAGAACACGACGGTATTCCAAATTATGGACGGTGTCCTCTGAAGTTTCGTTGATCAGATGGAGACTACGAACGCAACAGGATCTAGCTTTTCCATGACCACCTCTTACCAACCCATTGAACAACATAGACCAGCCCCAGCAGCACTGGCACCTCAATAAGCGGTCCCACTGTTGCAGCAAGTGCCTGATCACTTTCAGAACCAAAGGTTGCTACCGCTACCGCGATGGCAAGCTCAAAATTATTACTTGCTGCGGTGAAGCTCTGAGCGGTACTTATTGCAAACCCAAAACCAAGCCGATATGTGGCCCACAACGTCACAAAGAAGATGGCTACGAAGTAAACCACCAATGGAGCTGCCACTCGGACAACTGAAACGATCTGGTGTACGACTTGATGGCCCTGAGATGCGAACAGAATGACGATTGTGTATAAAAGGCCAATGAGTGACCACGGAGCTGCAAATCGCAGGAACACACGGTCATACCATTCCGGACCCGCCATGGCGCGAAATATGGATCGGGTCAGTACTGCAGCAGCCAACGGAATACCCAGAAACACTCCCACGCTGGTCGCCACGACAGTGTATGAGATATGTAGAGCCTGGTCTTCGTGACCGATAACACGGATAAAAAAGACGGCAAGAGGGGCGAATAGCACCATCTGCAGGATGGAGTTGATGGCGACAAGAATCGCGCAATACTCGCCATCGCCGCCCGCCAAACCTGTCCAGACGAGCACCTAGGAGTTGCTTATGTCAGCACGAACCTCAACTCTAGCAGATCGAGAGCCACCAACCATAGCGATGCACCTGCCCAAGCCAACTAATATCAGACCAGCACGTAGCTCGTTCTTATCCGGGAGAAACGCCCACGCAAGGCCCAACTCCGTCGCAGTTAGATTGGTGCTGTCAGTCAAGCTGTAGATGGCTTACCATAAGGAATGGGGCAATGACCCAATTCATGAATATACTAAAAATGATCTGCTTCCACATTCCTTTATGCGACAAGAGCTCATACAAGGACTCGAAGCGGACTTTGCAAAGAATGGGATACATCATGATAAGAAGACCGATAGCTAGAAAAATAGTTAATGGGTACGCTTGAATCCATTGATTTAGCATGTGAACGACGTACCAATAGGCACAGATACGCCAACGAACTGGCCCTTCTGTAACGCTGGGCCTGTCTGTGGCACGAAGTTGCCAAGCAAGATGCCTACGACCATGGAGAGGAATATCCAAATGGCCAAAAAGCGATCAAGCCAACCCAGCCTTTTGAACTTTGAAACTTTTTCTGGAGTATTTTGTTCTGGGTTACTCCGTTGCATCTCGGTATCTCTGTACTCGCTTGCTTCTCGTTTATACCTGGCCCTGGAGTAATCACCCGAAGTTGTGATGGGATTGCCTGTTCCATCAGCACCAAGCATCATGGTTCTCAGAAAGTTGGTGGCGAAAATAGGTTACGATGTCGAATTTTACTTTAGAATGTATCAAGAAATTTTCATCAACAGCCAGTCGATGTGAATGTAAAATGAGGTCGTAAAGTGACGACTTAAGACCATGCGCAGCAATTGACCAATCACAACGCGGGAGTGACACATCCCCTTATCACCAATCACCTCGCAAGGCGGTAAGTTTCGACAATTTCGAGTACCTCCAACCTGGCTGTCCTTTCATTATAGTAGTGATTCTCTTCAACATCATGGAAATCATTTTCGCATTCTCGGTACTTGAAAAAAATCTGTCCCCACTTAGGAAACTCGTCTGTGGCCTGGTCTTTTTGAGAGGTGACCAGAATCAAAGGCTCACTTAAGTCTTCCGAAAGACCACGGTACATTTGCAATGCACGGCAACCCCGCGTAAGATGGAGGTATACATAGATGGCTATTTACGGCTAGTGATTTCGACAAACTTTGGTCAAGTCTTGGAACGCTGAAAAGAGACATCAGCCGGTAGAAGCGGAGCTGCCAACTACGACGTCATACCGTTAGGTTATTTTCAAATACCGTCGATCCAAGGTAATCTCCATCATCGCACGTCTTAAGCATCAGTAAAGCGGGTCTAGCAATTTATGTACATTCTGAAGACTAGCATTAGTGGCGTCTATTATCTCGATTGTTAGTTATTCAGATGCTAATGCAACAGTAGCAGGATTGAATACTGTAAAAATGAGCTTCAGAGAGGACGAGGCACCGGAACGAATTCGCTACACGCGTTCCACACACACAAGAAGCCGTAAGGGCTGTCAAGAATGCCGAAGACGCCATGTAAGATGTGATGAGAGACGACCTTTATGGTATGCTTCAACGTGACAGAATTGATAATCTTAAGACCACACAAGCTAATCTCCAACTTGCGGTACATAGTACTAATTGCTTAACTCGAGGTGATGCTTGCATTTATGATCGTTCATCAACCTCAGAGAGACAACGCTCACCTCAGGAGAATCCACCCTCAAATCAAGTGCTTGGCACGACATTAGATCCCTTCGGCATACTAGAAGTTGAGATGCCTTATGAGACCCCGAGGCTGCTCCACCATTGTAAGTATTCTAGATGTTGTTCGCCTTATGATCCACTGGTTGGGGTGACGAGACTTGTGTGAGGGAAAGGCATTGAATCCAGTCATACAAACTAACACCTTCTTCTCAAGTCATTTCCTACCGTAATGAGCTCCGTAAGCTTATTCTAGGCAATCCCAGCGCTGCAGAGTATGCACCTCCGACGCATTCATTGGGAAGACGACGACATTTAGATTAACAAACAGGTACAGAGATGTCATGCCTGCGAAGTATCAAAACAGTTCAGCATATACACGAAGCCTTCTTCTCATGTCCGCAAAACATCGTTATGGCCTGACAGGTCTGAGTGACTGGTGTCGCGAACCTACCTATCTGCATCACAAAGCTCAAGTTATCCGCTTATTGAAAGAACAGCTGAGTGCGAACCCAGCAGACCCAGGAGACTGGTCTTTCAGCGTGATACTATTTCTTCTTGCTATGGAGGTGAAGCAGGCTCTGAATCCAGCAGAGTATTCGGAATTACTGAAAACCCTGATAGGCCCTTGAAGGCGATAATGATGCAGCGACTGCACATATTCGTGGTTTGGTAACTTTGATGAAGACCAAGGTTCCACAAGATCATGGCCTATACCAATCTGGTCAAGTCCTCCTCAAACTCGGGTTTTTGTATGGAAGTCAAGACTCTCTTGCTATACTTGCGAAGTCTAACCTAAATCTTGCAGAGTTTTGAGTCTCCTCGAGGCAGCCAAGGCGGAACATGCTGGCATTCAGCTGGATAAGGCTGATTGGCTTTTATCCAGGACTTCTTTTTCACTAAGTTTTAGTTGGCAATGGGTGAATGTTGTTTATTTATTGATCCAGATAGTTGGGGAGCTTCTCGTCAAAAACGGCCAGCTCATTGCAACAGCACCTTCAAGTCCAGAAGACTCTGCCTCTCTCCAATGGCTAATGAGAGAACTTCAATTGATCCACCACAAAGAACGCGATATAGGGTCTCAAAACATGACCGAGCTCGGTCCTGGGGTTCATCAGGATTCACAGTTGAAGAACTGGGTATTAGCTGGAATCTGTTATGCGCTATTGCTTGCGAGCTTGCCCGAATTGCACAAGAGGGACGCACACTCCGGATTGCACCAGCTGCAAGCTTGGTGGGAGGAGAGAGTAAATACATGGATGGAGTCTTTGGATCTTCCTGGCAGCCTGTTTGCTCTTGAGGTGTTGGAAAAGATTGAATGGTTGACAACTGTCGAAGGTGAGAGTATCATTCAACAACTGTACGATAACAGTCTTGTCAGTGCGGTATGATAGATGATGAGGTGATTCAAATCATGTTTCAAGACTGTGGGGTAGTGTGTATGCCCTTCAAGCCTCCCAGGCGGTGAAGTTGACGTATTCACAGGAGAAAGGTTCGGGTATGGAATATTGTATTCTGCAGAAATGAAAAGAAAAACTTCATGCGGATCTCCATTAGCATAACCATGCGATGATTGTTTGTCGTAGCTATCTTCACAAAGCTTCAAAATGAAAGTGCTTGACGTCAAGGCCACCAGATACCTTATCCTGAATAGGCCGAAGATTCTCCTTGAAGACACTCGTTTCCGCAGCGTCTAAGTGATTTTGTACCTCCCGCCAGCCTATCATCATTACCAGTTTGCTCGCTGTACTTCTCAATGCGAAGCTAGTCTTATATGTTAACGCCATCTTGCCTACGTATCCTGAGGGTGCGGTTTCCGCAAGGATCGCGTCACCGAAGGCTTGAGAATAGGAAGCTAACGACATCATCTCATCATCACTCAGCGCATTCTCTAGAGATAGAATGGCTATTTCAGTGACGGGGTTGGAGGTCAGGTCGGCTGCTTTGGCGCGAACAAAAATTGTAGTAGGTGGTGACGATTGGTATGGTTGCAAGCCCGCAAGATCAAAGCTGGAGTCCGGGGCTAGAAGCTCTGGGTAACCATTTTAATTAGTTCAACTCGTTACCTTTAGAACCTTGAAGGCTGCTTGAAGGCAACATACGAACTCCTATGCAGATAATCTCCGGCCTGTCAACACCTCGACCCCATATCAAAGTACCATAGCTTTCTTTCTGGGCTCGCAGGAATCGTAGAAGACTGTTGCCGTGGATACTTGACTCATCCTCCGGCCGCACTGAGGGTATCGCGGACAAGAAAATAAATTCCGTCAATGATATAGCCATAATTTAAACTTTTTGCTGGCAAAGCCTTTTTGAGAAGAGAAAGTAAGATCAATCTGGTCGCTTAATATCGCCTGCGTGGATTCTTCTCCACAGGATAACTGCACCGCTTCAACGAACGCGGAAATTATTTACCAAAAGAAGGCCTGTTGTCAATCTTTGATCATCTATAATGTTCCATTATATTAACTTGCATAGTGTAAGAGGCGCTGAGTAAGTCATCTCATTCAATAAGACAACCACGCAACCGATACAAAGGAGTGCGAGGTACATGCCCACTTGCTGGCGGAGATATGACGACTCCTTGCAGAGCCTTGACGTAGGATTCTTCGGCTAAACAAACTTGTATAGTACTAGAAGTGACACGGATCTAAGCGGCTACCCTTGTACAGATAAAAGTTAGCAGTAACTTGAAGTGATTCTCTTCGTATATCGAGGATAACCCATCATTAGCACCCCTTTGGTGAATAGACTGAGCACGACACGCTAGCGTGGGAGTCTGATAATTTGCGAGACTAGGCCTTCTAATGCATCAATCGTGTATGCAAGAAATCCCGACTATTTTGAAGTATACAGGCGAGAACGCACCGTTGCCCAATCACAACGTCCACCCATAGCCTATTCAACCAAAGGATTGACGGCAAGCATGCTACGAGGGTAACATCAAATGAATTTGAGTGACTTAACGATGCGTATTCTAGGTCATCGCTGGCTAGAAATGTGGTCAAACTTTGTCTTTGATGGGGTACAAGTTGGTAGCTGGTGTAGTGATTGCCTTCTTCCATTGGGCAAGCGACTGGAAACAATGGCTTTCCGCTACAGCTTTGAATTCCTGGCAGAACAGCCTTCTGATACAACTTATAGCAGCGCCACTCGGTCAGATAGGAAGTTTTTCGCCAGATTGACGCAACTATGACGAAAGCCAGCAGCCTAATGCGAAAGGTCTTAGCACGATAGGCTTACAACCTGCATCTCTTAGTGACTTTGTTCACTCCTGACGCACTTGTTGTGAGAAAGAGATGTTGACTGGCATCGGATGAATGTGCGTGAGTAAGCAAATTTGTGTAATGGTTGATCAATACGTGAAATCGAACCATTGGACGCACGATAGACGAGAGAATGAACCGTACTATATGAACGGCTCGTCTTGGAGCCTTCACGACAAGACCAGCATCATTTACATTTCAACTAGAATAGTTCCTCAGTACTCGAACTTTCTTACCGCACGAATCAAGGCCAATTATCAAAGAAACCTCAATTATGGCTGATCACCCGATTCCAAACGAGCAATGGGCTCAAGTTTTCGAGAAGTTTGGCGGTCGTGAGTCATTACTACAATCTGTAATTTCAGGTCATACTGAAGCCTTTTAGCTGTCGTATGCAAGAAGATTCCTGTCGCCAAGCCTGGTCCTGATGAGTTTCTCATCAATGTCAAGTATTCTGGCGTATGTCATAGTGATGTTCATGCCATGAAAGGTGACTGGCCCCGGCAGCCGAAGTCACCACTAGTT